GCATCAACATTGATATAGATTTTCTGTCAGTTTTTTCTCTTTAAATCTTCGTCTTTTCTTGTTGTTTGGCATGGTTCTTTTTTGTTCAATTGCCCAAACCCTTATCAACATTTTTTTTTGTTTTGCTTCAAATGTTATTTATTTTGCAATGTTGAACAATAAAATAATCTGTTCATCGTTACAAATCGAATCATATTTGAAAAGGCAAAAGTAACCAAGGAGTCAAAGGAAAATCACTTCGATAAAGAAACAAACAAAAAAAACATAAGACGACCACAAATACTGTGTAAATGCGTTGGAGACGATACGGTTCAGTGGCAACGGCAGCACATAAGCAATCATATAGTTAATTCAAAAAAGCTTCGATAGCTTGTTGATTCACATCAATTCATATCCACTGATACCACCTCTTCTGTGGAGCCAAACTCAATGCTCAAATCCATATCCATGCCAATAAAATCCACACACAAAGCTATCATCAAACAATGATAAAGACACTCGACTCAAGATGAGAATGAAATAACGACGAGAAAAAAAAACCCGGAGGAAAACTCGACAAGAAAATCATCTCTTCATCGAGAGCATTTCGTGGCCCATTGAAAGGCAGCCGCAAAAGTTTCCCTTCGTTTACCGTGATTGCCATTCTATATATTGAATGCGACCCATACAATGCGTAATATGCATTTTCTATAGGCCATAACAAGCTCATAAAAATCCAACAACGATCCAACCAATAGAGAATTATTGAAGGAGAAAAGACACAGCAACAACAACAAAAAAACAACAAACGGCACATTTATCCGTCGATTTCGAATACATTTTATTCGTCAGCTATTGAATTGTGATGTTTTGTTGTTCAAATTGATAGGTCGACGTGCGGCTCGATGAATGTTGTACGTGCGGTGATTGTATTGTAATCTATAGCTATTTGTAAGTCGAAGTGTTTGAGTTTTGCTCCAAGGAGCACGACCCTTCGCCGCAATTTTTTTTTTATACGCACACTTGAGAAGAAGGAGAGCGAGAACGAAGGAAAAAAAATCGAGAATTACAACGCCCGAGTCACAAAAGAACGACGACGGCTCGACAGAAAAATACAGTGTTTTTTTCACAAGTGGAATGTTTGTGTTGTTTGGTCTTATTTCTTTTTTGTTATTTCGGATTTGACAAAGGAAAAGCTCAGAAAAATCACAAGTTTCCGACCCTTTTTTTTCGTGTTGCTGAATGTTCTGTTGTGGTTGTTGGTGCCTTCTTATGTTTATTCACCGATTTCTCTTCGAATTTTTTAGCAGTTGGCCCTGTTCATTCAATCAGAAGATTGGTAACCGTTTTGCATACGAAATGACGTTGCTTTGGCTAACAAGAAATACAAAACAAGAGAGATGAGAAAATTTTTCCGGTGTCGCGGTTCCCTCGCCGCCAACATTCTTTACCGAACTTTTTTTTCGGTCGCATTTCGAAAAACCCGAAAACGAAGAAAAGAACGATGGCATACCAATCAGACGGTGTAGTGAACGCGGTTGCCGTCTGTTTATCTTTATTCAAATCAGATCCGATCATTTCGCACCGATTTCCTTTCAATCGTCCGTAACAGAGGCATTTAGAGAAAATTCTTTCCTGATTTTTGTTTGGCATCTATCTGACTGTATTCTTTTCTTACTCCCCTCGAATTCTGTGTATGTGTTTTTTTTTGTTGGCTCATATCTTTGCCCGGATTTTTATCTCTGTTTATTTTTCTTTCCGCACGGTGTGTATGCCAATGAATTTGCCAACAAGTCATATTACAATAAAATTACAAGATGACAGACATTGTTGTTTACATGATTTGTATATCGAAAGGGTGACGCATTTCTCACAATGACTGACAACCATGAGAAGAACGAGAAAAGAAAAAAATTCGATTGCACAAAGAATGTAGGCGTCACTTTGAATCAATGTATTGAAGGTTTCTACATGTTCATGGCTTATTTGCGTTCTATTTGTCATGCTGATAACGGTTCGAGTGTCAAAATATAGAAAATATTTTATCTGCTCACTTCTCGAGCTCTTCGTTTTTTTTTTTCATTATAAAAACAGAAGGGAAAATATGATCAAGTGTTAAGTAAATAAATAAGAATGTGGTTTATTTGCGTCGAAGAAAGAAGGGAAAAAATGCCAAAGATTCGAAAATATAAATTTCTTTCTGTTTGACTTCGATCTTATTTGCATAAATATTTTGTGGGTGAAATGGGCAGAAGTGGAAAAAAAAGGATTGAAAGGTGTGAATATCTAATAAGCCAATAATGATGAATATAAAAAACGACAGGAATAAATTTTCGTCGGTTTTTGTAGCGTACACAATTCTTGCTCTGTGGAGTGAGAGGTAATTTTATTCAATTTCAGTATTTATGTTTCGTCGATAATATCGAGCCGGTTGAGTGCTTTTCTTAAGCATTTGCAAATCTTTTATTCAAATTGTTTATTTTGTAATGGAATTGATGGAAATTTAAGTGCTGTTCGATGTTTTCTAATTAGTTTCCGTCGTTCTCTTTTTTTTCTCTCGTTCGTCTTCTTTATTTAACTTCCATTTGATCCACTTTAGTGAGTGTGAGCGATGAACGCAATTGAAATGGGCAAAAAGACAATGCACAATGGTATTTATAGACAAGAAATGTGATAGCGTTTATTGAATGTATCGGCCATAAAATTGAAGCCAGTGAATAAGTGAGCCGTACTTTTTCTTTTGTGCACTTTGCATTTTAAACAGCGCAAAAGAAACTCAATTTACTTTTAATTTCTTTTCAATTGGTCGTTGCCGTTGTTGTCGCATGCAAAAAAGGAATGAGGTAAGACAAACGAAATGTGATAAGAGCACTTTAAAAGAAGCCAAAGATAATAAACAACGCAACAGCGAAACTGCTATCTAATAAATACGGACGAGACTTTTGACAAAGTAAAATATCTATTTTCAAAGAAAAGTTTTCGATGATCGAATAAAGAAATCAAGTCGCGCTTTTCACTTTTACATTTCCTTCTGCGATGCTTATTTAATGTACGCCTTGGCGTCATTATATTTAGTTTGAAAATACGAAAACTTTGTGTGCACCATTCGACACTCCGAATCGGAACGCAGGTAGGAATATTGAATTCGAATTCGTAATCAAAAGTTAAGTGAATTGAAACGAACGACGTCGAAAACGACGACGATGACGACGACGGTGGCAGCACAACAGCTGCGGTGACAAAGGAAGGGAATGGGCAATACTAAATAAAAGCATCGGTTTCCGTAATTAAAGAAAACGCATTAAAATTTTCCAATTAACAATTCACTTTTAAGTACGGATCTTCTGCTATGACGATATGGTTTCTTTCATTTCGTGTGCACCATCCAACCATAGTGCCAGTGATCAGTTCTCATCTTTCGTAAGAAGCTGAAAATACTTTCTCATTGAAGCAAACAAAACAGTATGTCAAGTGTTCTTATGGAACATTGTTATAAATGCGATGAACAAACGCATTCCCAAAAATGCGGTAGTCCATCATTGTGCGCCGTTAAAGCACCGTCCCGTTGTTTTTTCGCATGAGGGTGGCCAATATTATTTTATTAGGTAGATTGTATGGCAATGCTATCGTATTACCAACACGTCACTTCTAAGAAGTAGCAATATAGTAGTCAGATGCTATCACCACTTAACACAATCACTTGTGATCACTTTCCTGTTATTTATATTACAAAGTGAAAGGACGGAGCCGGTTCTTTTACATTCGCTTGACATCATTTCAATGGACATTTTCAATATCGACATTTTCCAACGACAGAAAATCCGATTACAACGCGACTTACATTTTCTTGTATTTGCTGCTTATGTCTAAAGAACGCAAGATAGAAAGAGAGGGGAGACACGAGAGAAGATGATAAAATCATACTGAATTGTGAAGATGTTTGTTTGAATTTCAACTAATTGTAATTACAACTCCAAAGAACTATTGTTGAATGTTGAAAACTACTTCGAATTTCCGTTCTTTTGCCAGCGTAATAGTGAAGGCAATCAGGATATTTATTACACATCTAGTTTTGTTTACATTTTGTTTATGCATTGAACATTGACTTCTACCGGGTCATTCTTTATAAACAAAATGCACAAAAGTTTGCATGGAAAATTTTGAGAATACAAAGTTGTCGTCGTTGTCGTTGTCTTTGCATTGATTCAAAAAACGACAAAGTTATATGCGGTAACAAGATACGAAATTCTTTCGAAAAATATGCGAAAATAAATATGTCAATGCAATACAATGGGAAAGAATTTGTGGAAAGAAAATAACAACGGCACCACTTGCACCATGCATACAGATGAAGCATATTTTCTATGTATTTGTGGTTTCAACCACACATTCAAACGCTTTGCATTTGCAAAAACGGTTTATTTTGAACAAAAAAGGGGTAAAAACAATGGTAACAATACAAATAACAATAATTTTACGAAATTTAGTGATCGTAAACAAGCCAAATGTTAAACAAGTGAAAATTATAAACAAGAACGCGATGCGTTTCCCTCGTCGCAGTTTCAGCATGTACATGCACGGTGCACACAGATTCACAAACAACCAAAGAATGTGCTGGTTATGCTGGCGCGAGCGATTTCACCATCTCAACACATAATCAGCAAGCCTTTTGCGACAACGACAACAACTGGCGGTTGCATAATTACAATGGCACATGTGCAAGTGCTTTAGTTGCGCGTAACTAATAAAAATAAATATATCTGCCATCAGTTCATTAAAGCGAGCGATTTTGTTGTCATCATGTTTTTTTTTCGGCTGAAAATTAAACAAGGACCGGTTTTATACGTTTGCGGTAAGCGGTGTATGTGTGTGTGTGTGCTCTTTTTTCATTGACTTTTCGGTAGACACGAAAAGGAAAGGTAAAAATTCCAATTGCAATTCTTTTAAAATCAGACGAAAAAATACCAACCGTCGTTGTTTGGTTCATTCATAAAATGTGTGTGTAAACTGATAGAACTTACCTCTTTATCTTTGGCAGAAATATCATCGGAACTTTTGCCTTCGCTGTCGTTTACATCTGATGCAGTTGTGACACTTGACAATTTTGATGCGGCCGATGTGTTTGTTAGTGCATTTGACGCATTTGTGATTGCTGTCGATGCGATTAGTGAGCTGGTTGTTGACGAGGTAACAGTGGATGGGATTGGTACAATATCATCATCATCTTCGTCATCGTCGTCGGCTAAATTTTCAATTGTATTTTCACGTTTTTGTTCAACCATCGACACTGGCGACGATCGATTCGATGTCGATTGATTTTCATTCGTTGTGTCCATTTTATCGTCGTTTAGATCGTCTTTGTTGTTGTTTAGCGATTTGCTATTTATTATCGGATTACCGCTGCTGCTGCACTCAGACATTGTGGGCGATGCTAGTGATTGCGGTGCCAAACAACCGTTTTGCATTGATGAATTCTGAGATGAAATACTTGTGGATGACAATTGCTCTTTCAATGAGTTAACTTCTTTTTCCGCTAATGTGGCTCTCTGCAAATGAAAAAAAAAATTGAAGAAATATCGTTAGTAATGCTTTTATAGTTTTAGGATGCTATTTTACTATTTTTCGTTTGAAGTATAATTAAGTGTTAATTCTGAACATCGTTGGAACGAATGCAATTAAATCAATAATGATTGGTAGTTTGCGTATCAGTGAAATGTGAATAAACTATGCGATGTGTCTAATTAGCTAGGTCGTGACAAACACTTGACTCAGCTGCCATAAAAAATGTGTGTGTGCGCGCACATTTTTTGCTTGCTTTCGCCAGGCCCATTAATTATGCAAACGACATTCAATTGCAATAGACCAATGAACATTTAAAATGAAAGGGAAAAAGCACAATTTTTCGCGAAAATTATTTTTGGATTTTTCGAAAGAGTGTATGCGACTCACGACATTTCGGAAATGCATGAATGATTTGTGTTGGCTGTTGGGTTCTATGTTGCGATGTTAAACTCTTTATGGCTGTGTATTTTCTTTTTCTCCGGCTCCCATGTGTATTTCGATCTATATTCCCCTTTGATCGAATCCATTTTTACAGCGCATTCATAAAAGTGTTCAACAACATGTCATTAAACATTCATTCGTTCTCACTTTCGCCGGAGGAAATGCATACATTTAAAATATGATTTCAAAACAAATGTGCGTTTTTCATTCAACATGCCAAAGGCACTCAAACACAAAATGATGACAATAATTTTCATTTTAATCTCAATCAAAGATATTATATCATATGTCGTTTGAAATGAAGAAAACTAATCCCCATAAAATACAAATTCAAACTGAAAACACGACTGGCTACGAAATGAATTAAAGAAATCAAATGAGTTGCGTTTGACGTCAATCCCAGGATCGAGATACAAACCATGAATCATTATCATGTGTCAAACAGCATTTGAGAATGAAAAAAAAAAATCCACAGAAGCAAAAGAACAGTATTTAAGAAATTGAAAACGAGTGTTTTTTTCACGATGGTTCCGTTATTCGGTTTCTGCTGAAAGAATTTCATTGAAAAAACATACCAAAATAATGAACGAAGAAAAAAATCTGGAAGGAAGAATACACGCACATTTTTCAATTGGAAAAAAAGAATCGAGAACAGAAAACACACAAATTTTGATGCATGTACAGAAATTCGTTATTAATTATTAACAAATGTTTCCATTTCTGGTAGCACTGATGCAGTTCGACTGTCGTTCAAATTCCCGTTTGCTCATCATATTCGGGTGACTTTTTTTTGCTCTCGAATCCAATGCACTGGTGCAACGTGTTTATATTACGAACACATCGGTTGATGTGTATTTTAACTGATGTCACAAAAGACAACGAACGTATAAATCTTCATTTGAACGAACGAAGACAAATCAAAAAAATGCTCACAATTTATTTTCTTCCGAAGTGTTTTGTGTGCAAGACGCAATAGTAAGAATGAAAGAAAGAAGTTTGCTTGTTTTTGTATCGCATCGTCATTGTGTGGTATTTGCTCTTTTAATTTGTAATTTATTACACGTTACATGAGATATTTTTGTTTTTTCCGGAGAATTATAAACGTACTTCGATGTGTGTGCATTGTATTCATCATGTGAGTGTTGAATGTATGTGTGAGTGAGCGAGCGCGGTGCATAAGACCTAATCTAATCGCTTTATTTATTTTGTGCAGAGACATGAAGACGAAACAATAAATAGAAACTAGTATAAAATGACACATGAACATATTTCGAAAATTATTTTTCAAGTCTCTGTTGTGCCATTTGAGAAAGGTGTTTTACCGATTAAATGTGGTCGTTCGTGTTTTTTTCGTGTCTTTCATTTTCAAATGGGTTTATTGTGTTGATAAATTACCGAAAATATGTTTAATCATTTATTTATTTCCATCGTGTTGGATGTGGTCGGTGTGTGTATAAGAGAGTGAGAGAGAGAGAGGAGTGAAAATTAATTTCAAAATGGCGACATGTGATGTGTTTCAAGTCGAACAGTGAAATTGATATTTATTCCCTTTAAATGAAAATTAATTGATATCGGTAAGCGGTGTGCTCGATGAGCGAACGACAGTGGCAAAGAGAGAGAGAGAGATTGCAAATGAGTAAAAATAGAGTTTGTGCATGCGGTAATGAGAGAAGGATATCCTTTCCTAAACAAGATGATTGAATAGATTCGTCTATGGTGCTATAGTGGTGTATTTTTAATGAAATTTTATTTATAGTCACAAATAAACGTGTAAAATCAACAACGCACAAAACGACTATACAAACTCATTAAATATAAAAAAACGATAAGATTACGGAATGGAAAATCACATGTGGTTTTGTTTGTGATGCTTGAACCTTTTGATTGAGAGACGATCGGGGTGGAAGTGAAAGCAAAAACAATGCCCAAATGACAACAAATAAATAACAAACGAGATGCCATTTCTACCAGCGCATTCGAACAGCAATCGAAGGACGAGAAAAAAAGTCATATTGCACGGTGACTGGTTGTCTAAGGCTGTTGTCACCGTATCAAATCGAACGGAATCTTTCACGAACTGATACCGGGAGCAAAGCCAACGATTTCTAGAACAAAAGCCGATATTAATAATATCTTGCGGCTTTAATAGATGACATGTCTATTCAAGTGAAAATGGAAATATTGCAAAAAGCGGCCGAGATATGCATTCGCAGCACATTCATCTCATTTTTTGCTCGTTCTACTCTCTCTCTTTATATATATTTCTATCGTTCAAATACATTCGAAACGACTTCAAACTCAGTCGCAGACAACCACACAAGAGAGATAGAGAAAAAACGCATTCAGATCTAATGTACGACATTACATACATCAATATTTCGTCGCTGCTCATTTGAATAATATTCATCTCTCGTGATTTATGATTGTGTAATTTAAGAGCAAAGAGAACACAGTCTTCTTCAGTCTCACACTCTTTTATTCATTCTCTCGCGCGCGGTTGATGTGAGATGCGAACTCTTCAATCGCAAGAGGTCTTATTTGCTGTGTGTGTTTTGAGGACATACAGCACCATAACGAGCCATGGAAAAGAATACAATATCAACGCCAACAATAAACATTATAATACGAAATGTGCACAGTTCGGATGCTTTCAAAACGACACAAATCACACAAGATATAAAATATGTTTATCTTTTTTCGTTCATTTTGTGCTACGTACGATGCGCGACCGGGCGCGTTCTTGTCTTTCTCTTGTTCGAAATGCAAGAGCGAGAGGATTTCAGAATGGTTATGGAAATATGTATGAATTCACATTTGTTCACAAAACATACGAAGAAATATGATGAAGCGTAGGAATGGTATCGAAAATCAACGCTCTCAAACGACAAAGTCACGGGATCAAGAACACACAGCATAGGCACTCGTTTCAAGTTGAGTCTCTCACATATTTTTTTATTGTATGTGTGTTGTTTTGTTTGATACGCGGTCGGTCCCTCGTTTTCGCTGAATTCAGACAGCCGTCAAGCGAGGCCGATATATCGAGGCGACCGTGATGACGACGATGATGCACATTGCCTTTGGTTTGATTCATGTGTGTAGATTTTACAATTGTCAATGATGATCCACATTATCGCGACCGAAACAGTTACACTCACAGCTCTTATGCCACAAATCAACCGATCATCATCGCTCCAAATTCGTATGCAGTATGCGAGCAACGTAGATAATATTCAAAAATTTAACACAATTTATGGGTCTTTTTTTTCGTTATGGTGTATGATTTGTGTTTTTTTGATGCTGTTTTGTTCCGTCTTAATGTCAGCCTATTCAAAATTAGGCAGATTTTTTATTCGCCTTCTTCAAGTCGTTCTGTGATGATGATGTTGTTGAATGTGTTAATACACAAAATATCGAAGTTTGGTTTATGCGACGAAATAAAAAGGAGCACATTGTTATGAAACAAATCGACAAACAAGAAAAGGGTCGAAGTATTTTGCTGTGTGTCTTTCAGTCATCTTGTTCATTTGTTGTCATCAATCGATGGTTATTATTAGCCGCACTTTATTCTTGCTCGAAAGAGCGCGGATGTGCGGCATTCATAAACAGTACAAAGGATTTTTTTTGGTAAATCAATGAATGGCATTGATTGTTCAATTTTGACAAAAAAAGAGGCGAAATGATTCATTCTTCAATACTTTGTTTACTGCGCATTTCACTTCAATTCATTCATTTATTACTCGATGTTTTTTTCTCTTGATAAATGTTTCTCAAACACATATGCCAATCGATCGGCATTCTTTTTGGTCAGCTTCTGTTAATTGCTGAACAGAGAGTATGTGTGTGTATATGCGCGCGGTCGCTTTGAATGACAAAAGTGCCGAAATCAAACTAATTACAGAGAAATTGTGTTGCTTTTTATTACAACATCCGTTGAAACATTTGGCTCGAGTTTTGTTTTGTTTATCGATTTTGGTGCCCACTTAAAATACTTCGATGACTCGATTTCTTCGAAATTGATGATGTAAACCTAATGCCATTGCACATTATAGACCACGAAAAGAATGTAAAAATACTTTTGTACTTAAAGAAAAATACAATGCTCAACGGTGCGTGATTAGATTTTGTTTTTTGTTTGCAAATAAAATCTCGAATCAAAATGATATGCAGAAATGTTGCAAGAAACGTTCAATTAGATCGAAAAATATGCAATTTGACATAGCAACAACTGCAGTTATGTAGTCGCATTCGAAAAAAAGGGCCGGCAAAAAAAATGTTTAGTTATTTTGGCACAAAAACACATGCACAAACCATTGAATTTGGCGTTAAATTGAAATGACATTTCATTTGTGTAGCATAATGTTGGTTGTGCATCGTGATTCTAGCATTGATTTTGGCTCTCGTTTGCCATTACGAATTAGCAACAAAGAAAGGTCAAACACTTTTCGTTTTCGTCGTCACACAAAATGGCGTACAGCACATCTACAGATAATAATTAGATTAACTATTTTTCTTTCAGCATATTTTCAATTTTTCTAATTAATAA